TGTACATATTTCTTGAGGCAAGTAAGTCTTTCATTTAGTTATTCATAATTTTAAGACCAGGAATCAACCAACAGGTATACTCACAATATCAATACATTCCCAATTGTTCTACGAAACGGCTTAAAGTTTCAGGTTTTCAAAAGGGCTATGTTCTAAGCTCTGAATATCACCCAAGTTATAACTAGGGTTTGTATGATCCTACTTAATACTGAATTTTTGAGAACATTTGATACATATTATGCCTACCATTAAAAGTAGTAGTTCTATTTTTCTCAGATTATTCTGTGTGTTACAATGAATACATTTATCTAAAATTTCCAACTTCAAACTTTAACAGCTCCAATTCTCAAAATGACGTATTAATCAGCAATAAGAGAAAATGCTTACCTCTCAAGACAGCCATCTTCACTATCACCATGGTCACTGCATGGCTCTAACAGTATACCTACAGACTGACAAAAAGAACACCACCACTTACTAATAGAGATCCCAATACTCTCGAATTGGAGGAATTTGCCACTCTAAATTTGTATATTAGATCACAAGTTAGTCAAGCACCCCTTCTTAGCAATCATTTATAACAGTCTGTAGGAATTGGTATCTCTCTTTATTTTTTTAATTGCTAGAGAGTATGTGTGCTCCCAGAGAGAGAGAAAGCACCATCCGACAAGGTGTGGTCATGCCTCAATTCTTTTTTTCTCAACTCCTTCCCATCAGGATTTTGGGTCCGCACACACACATGCCTAGTTTTTCAAACTGTCAGGGCTGGTATTCAAACTGAGGTGAGCTATGTAGGACTAATTAAGCAATGCGCTATTGGGTCAGCTCTGCACCTCTTTTTTATTTTTCTGAAATGGTATGATTGCAAATGTTTATTGTGAAACAGTACAAAAGAGATGTTCTCAAAAAAAGAGTAAAAAAATCTTCAACTGACAGTAAACATCTTAAGTAACCTAGAAGACATGTAAATTTAAACTGTAATTATCAGGGAACAACAACAAAAAATGCCTTTGTGTGTGTACACATTAAAAATTAAAAAAAAAAAGGTAAATCCCAAGCCAGAACAGTACATCAATAACCTACACTGAAATAATATCTTAATATATAAAGAAAGAGAAGATAAAGATAAAATATTGGCTGCCATCATTTTGTGATGCCTGACTATAACTGAACCAAAGTACAAAGACTACTAAAACTTAATACCCACATATCCTACAACCACATTAGGCAACATAATTCTTAAATTTAGTTTTAAAATAGTCAAAAGTAGTAATCAAAAAGACAACTGGGGAGACCAGGAGGTGGTGTAGTGGTTAAGGTACTGGACTTCCACATGGGGGACTGTGGTTCAAGTCCCAGACTTGGTGGCTTAGTCTGTCTGTCTGTCTGTCTGTCTTCCTTACTTCCTTCCTGTCCTGTCCTGTCCTGTCCTGTCCTTTCCTTTCCTTTCCTTTCCTTTCCTTTCCTTCCTTCTATCTCCCCCCCACCCCTATCTGGTCAAGTTTAAAAAAATAATAATAATGATAAATAAAATAAAATAAATCTTAAAAAAAAAAAGAAAGAAAGTTGGGGGTAATATAAAAGAAAAAGATGAACTGACAGAAGTCAGCTTGGAAAGAAGTAAAAGCTGACAGCCAGGTAGTGAAGATGATAGGTGAGATTTAGAATCAGATGCAGAACTATGCTCTATCCTGTCCCTCAGGATAAAGAAAAATAAGCTTTATTAGAGTCAGTTCAAATATTCCAAAATTTCAATTTTACAGAGATGGAAATATGTAATACTTTGTCTAGAAACTAGCTAAAATGTATGTCTTATCACTTAACAGAAATTTTACTTCCTCAGGATTCATCCTAGATAAAATATTCCTTTGTACATGGATAGAAAGAAGGAAAGTTAAAAAAAAAAACAGCAGGCAAATAACCTGAACATTCTTCCCCCTCCCATTTGCCTTTCCACAAATATCCAGGTCTTTAAAAAAACAACAAAATCACTCTCATCTCAATCCAGGTAAGTCAGAGATGGTGGATGCAGTGGGAACAGAAGTCACAGCACAGTTCTTTTTTTTTTTTTTTTTTTTTTGAGAGGTTTTTACTATAGGGCGTGTGCACTCACTGGAAAGACAGAGAGACAGAAAGTGAGAAATCACACCCCCCCAGGGGAGATGGCCTCGCCGTCTCCATTCTCCTCTTGGGATCTTGGACACGCACACACATGCACCTGGTGTGAGGTTAAGTCACCAGGTCCAGGACTCAAACCACGGTCGACTACATGGGAGTCCAGCAACATAGCCATTACGCCAACTGCTGGTCCCACAGCACAGTTCTAATACCAACGCCTTGAGGCTGCAGGCTTACTGCCAGGAACTAATTAAAGCCTGATGGGCATTTCCAGGAATTTTGCTGGCTAATTCTTTATCTAGTCATTATTGGTGCTTTCCACATTGCTTAGCTCTGTATCTCCCCCCCTTCACTCACCTAGCTTAGCTCAAGTATGCGAATTATTTCTTTAATAGGTTAAATATCCCTGTTCCATTCTATACATTAAACAGTTAATAAATTATATATATTAATATAGTTCAATCTAGCCCACTCTCTTCTATTGAATTAATGTAATCAACACGGATGAGGTCTCACAATGGTATAAATCAAGTTAATGACCATCTCTTCTTTCTCAGCTATCTGTTATAGTTTCCCATATACTTCTAGCCACCATGTCTGAAAAGAGGTATATTCCAGGAGTTTCTCAAAATTTTCAAAATACAAAGAATTCTAAGTTTGGGGAGTAATATCAATAAATGTACCCTAAAATGGACAATTTTTATGTTACATTTACTGATATGCTCAGGTATTCTGATGTATGCTCTAATCAGGCTATTGACCTTCATTAAAGCTTCAACCACCAAAGTAGCACAACCTTCACATATTTAAAATCTACAAAAACCAATCCCTTTATTAAAAAAGAAATTGTGATATGGTAAATGCACTCACCATGGAGAGAGAAAGTGAGAAATCATCTCCCGAAGGGGGATGGCCATACCACAATCCCTTCTCCATTCTCTTCTCAGGATTTTGGGCACACACATGTGCCCAATACATTTATAACAATTAGTGCTCACAAAAAAATAAACAAAACACGGAAAGATGACAAATGAATAACCTAAAGAAGCATCTCGAGGAACTACAAAAGCAACAACAAAAAATCCCAATGGTGGGACCAGCAAATAACATAGAGAGTAAAGCACTGGATTCCAAATGGCCAACTCTGAGGTTTGAATCCCAGACCCAGTGGCCTGAAAATCACACCAAGTGCATATGTAAGCATGCCCAAAGTCCCAAGAGAATGAAAGAGAAAAGACTATGATATGGCCATCCCTCTTGGAGGCGATTTCTCACTTTCCTCATCTCTCTGTCTCTCTGGCACGCACATGTGCTCTATGTCAAACTAAGAAAAGAAAAATTAAAAAAAAAAAATCAACCCAATAATACTAGAGAAAAACTGTTAATAAAGATGACAGTAGAAATAAATGAAATAGAGGGACCAGCAGACGGCATAATGGCTATGTTGCTAGACTCCCATGTAGTAAACCACAGTTTGAGTCCTGGACCCAGAGGCTCAAACTCACGCCAGGCACATGTGCATGCGTGCCCAAGATCCCAAGGGGAGAATGGAAGAGAAAGGATTGCAGCGTGGCCATCCCTCCTCAGGGATGATTTCTCGTTTTCTGTCTCTCTGTCTTTCTGGCAAGCGCACGCGCCCTACAGCAAGAAACCTCCCAAAAAAAAAAAGAAAGAAAGAAAGAAATGAAATAAGAGAATAAAAAAATACAAGAAATTAACAAAACAAAAAGTTGGTTCACCGAGAAGATAAAACTGACAAACCATGAGCTAGACTAACCAAGATAAACAGAGAAAAGAACCAGATATATAAATTAGTAATGAAAAGGCAATGTTACAACAGCAATCATAGAAATACAAAAAATCCTGGGGTCAGTAGGTGGCATGGTGGTTGAGGTGCTGGATTCCCACATGGTGGACTGCTATGTGAGTCCCAGACCCAATGGCTTGCTTCCTCACTTTCCTTTTCTCTTTCTCTCCATCTCTCTCTGGTGAACACAAGTGTCCTATAGCAAATTCAAAAGTGAGAATAAGAAAAATTAAATAAATAACTTTTTAAAATATAAAAAATTCTAAGAGAATATTACAAATTTATATCAACAAATGAGAAAACCTAGATGAAATGGACAAATTTCTAGAACATACGATATTCCTAAATTAAATAAAGAAACAGAAATCCAGAACAGACCAATAATAAGCAATGAAATTGAAACAGTAATAGTCTCCAAACAAAGAAAAGCCCAGGTCCTGATGGCTTCACTGCTGAATTCTTTAAAACTTTTAGAGAAGAATTAATTCTAATACTCTTCAAACTACTTCAAAAGATCCAAATGAAAGAAACTCTACCAAATTAATTCTATGAAGCCTCTATCACCTTGATATCAAAAGCAGAAAAGGACATAACAAAAAAAGGAAACTGCAGGCCAATATCCCTGATGAATACAGATGCAAAAATCAACAAAATACTAGCAAACTGAATACAACAGCACATTTAAAAGATTATAGGGGCCAGTAGATGGCATAGTGGTTAAGACGTTAGACTCCCACAGTCTGAGTCTTAGACCCCAGTGGCTTGAAAGTCACACCACGAGCATGTGCGTGCATGCCCAAAATCCAAAGAGGAGAACAGAGAAGGGACTGCAGGGTGGCCCTCCCTACTAGGGGTAATTTCTCACTTTCTCTCTCTCTCTGGCAAGTGCAAATGCCCTTTAGCAAAATCTTTCTAAAAGGGACCAGCTGATGGTGATGGTTACATTGCTGGACTCCCACATGGCCAACTGTGGCTCAAGTCCTGGACCTGGTAGCTTGAAACTCACACTGAACACATGTGCGTGTATGCCCAATATCCTGAGAGGGAAATGAAAAAGGGACTGCAGCATAGCCATCCCCCTGGGGGCTGATTTCTCACTTTCTTCTCTCTCTCCAGTGAGCACACGTGCCCTATAATAAAAATCTCTCTTAAAAATAAAAACTCTCTAAAAATAAAAGATTATAAACCGAGGCCAGCAGGTGACATGGTGATCAAGACACTGGACTTTCACATGGCCAAACTCAGTTTGAGTCCTTGACCTGGCAGCTTGCTGTATCACTCTCCCTCTCTCTCTCTGGTCAAACTGAAGAATAATAAATAAAGGGAACCAGCAGTTAGCGTAATGGCTATGTCGCTGGATTCCCACGTAGTCGACCGCGGTTCGTGTCCCGGACCCGGTGGCTTAAAACTCACGCCGGGCACGTGTGCGTGCGTGCCCAAGATCCCAAGAGGAGAATGGAGGAGAAGGGATTGCGGCGTGACCATTCCCCCGGGGAGGTGATTTCTCGCTTTCTGTCTCTATGTCTC